ACTAGCTCTGGTTTGGAGAAGTTTATTTGAATTGCCTTTGCGAAGTGGGTTGAGTAGACAGTGAATTATCAAGGTCCTGAGCTCACAAGACAGATCTGAGCTGGAAACAGTTTTAGAAGGTTCATTTATATTATTTTCAGCACTACACCAAAAGACAACATAAAAACTTTTATTTCATTGAATTCTAAGCAAACACGTGAGTTCTAAAAGGCTTAGTTGACTGATAGTCCACATTCATGTGAGTAAATAAGATTGGGTCCAGATAGCAATTACCATGGGTACCTCTCCCTTTCATCTTATAACACATAACATGATTGTGAACATCAATCTAGACATACACACACACACACACACACAGAGTTCACTTTTTCAAGGTGGGCGGCAAACTTAAATGATTTTACCTTTGTCTCAGTTACAGGTGTGTGTGCTATGTAACTTGCCAAGCTTTATCTTCTTTTATGTTTGTAGAAAACAAATGTGATCATATCTGTGTGGGGTATAAAGTATCCCCAACCATGACCAGTATATTAATGTTTAATGAGCTCAAGTAGACTCTGCTATAGTCAGTGTCTCGCTCTGTTCCCTCCACTTCACAGTGTGACACCAGGAAGGACAGAGAATGCAGTTCTTCTGCCCTTAATGAAGTTCACTCTCTTTCATGAGGCCAACTAAAAATCCCCCTGGGGCTCCTCTCACACACATTGGATGTAACTTGGCATTCTTCTGCCGGGGGAATGCATTCTGAAGTGCCATCTGAGGGTGGTGGAGTGATGAGGAATGACTTTTTGATGGTATTATGTGGGTGGTGGTGGCAAGATGTGTTACTTTACTAGATCATCCTCTGATTTCAACTAATAATACTAGCCACTTACATTTTTCCCAGTAAGCCTGTGAACTTCAATTGAGCTACATTGTAACACTGTGTGTTTAAGAGTTGAACTACTGGGGGCTGGTGCTGTGGCATAGCGGGTAAAGCCACTGCCTGCAGTGCCGGCATCCCATATGATCCCGGTTCAAGTCCCGGCTGCTCCACTTCCAATCCAGCTCTCTGCTATGGCCTGGGAAAGCAGCAAAAGATGGCCTAAGTCCTTGGGCCCTTGAACCCGTATGGGAGGCCCAGAAGAATCTCCTAGCTCTGGTGGTTGCAGCCACTTAGGGAATGAACCTGTGGATGGAAGACTTTTCTCTCTCACTCTCTGCCTCTGTAACTCCACCTTTTAAAGAAATAAATAAATCTTTTAAAAAAAATTGAACTACAGAGTTAAATAAGCTTTTTAAAATTTACTTCAAGTTGCAACACAAATATTTCTCTCTTTAAGTGCTTTTTTAAAATATTTATTTTATTTATTTGAAATTCAGGATGACACAAAGAGAGGGAGAGACAGAGAGAGAGATCTTTCATCCACTGGTTCATTCCCCAAATGGCTGTAACAGCCAGAGCAGAGCTAGGCTGAAGCCAGGAGCCTGGAACTCCATTGGGGTCTCCTACATGGTTGGCAGGGACCCAAGTGCTTGGGTCGTCTTCCACTGCTTTCCCTGGAGCATTAGCAGGAGTAGGATCAGAATTGGAGAAGTCAGGACTGTGACTGGCACTCATATGGGATGCAGGCAGGGGTTTAACCCATCGTACTACAATGCAGCCACATAATACGATTATTTCCACAACTGATCTACAGACTTCTTTGATTTGTCTAATAGTCAGGGAAACAAAATTTTCCAAAGAGAAATTATTTAAAAATATTATTGATAAATAATAATTATTTGTTATAACAAATCAGGTTCTGAATTTCACACAGATACCCTTCAACCATTGAAATTCTTCATCCTTTTGTCCTTCTTTTATTTACTTGGTGCTCACTAAAATGTTCAAAGAATATCTTTCCATTTTTTTTAAGTGACATCTGTAACTCAATTCACTGCTTGAAGAAGTTTTAGCTTATTTACATTACATACAGCTTTGTCACCATGCTGACAATTATAATAATATTCAAAGCTTAGAGATTTTGAAATGATAAACTGAAATCAAAATAATCTCTTTAGCTCTCATTCATTAATATTTAATGTATATATGTATGTATGTATATATGTATCAGAGAGCCTTCCCTGCTGTATTTCACAACCCACTATCACAACTCAGGAACTTAATTTCTGTGATAATACGGCTTGCCAAGAATGTGAAGAGACTCAGAGACATCATTTGTTGGAGACAGATGATTGAGGCTCCGTGATAATTTTAAAGCTTTGTAAACTACAGGCAGGCATGCCTGGTTTGGCCATCTGGTCAGAATAAGCGCTTTCAGGGCTCTCTGTCTTCACCTTTGCCCTCTGCTTGGGCATGAGAAATGTAAGGAATGCATTGGCTGTAGGTGAGGTCTGCTTTGACTGAGGTTAATAAGATAACACCTTCCTCTATACACATTCACTCACATACCCTAGCACTGTCCAAGTTGAAAGGATGAGAAGGAGGTGAACTTTGCTGTGGACAGATTTATCACCCCTTGATCCACAAAAAATGCAAACAAAATCCCCCAGGGCTAGTTTCATATTATTCAAGAGTTCTAGGGAGCTACTTATCATGCCCACCACATGAAGGAACAAAACAAACTCTTCTAGTTTTAATAAAGATAATTTATTTGAGACAGGAAAACCAAAAATTCATCCCCAACTTGAGAAGTCAAAAAAAAGATTTCCCTTGGCTTTATGAACCATTGTAGATTTTGTGGGTCTGGGAATTCAGTTCCATGCTCTGAAACATAATGCCATCTCTTTAATGGCCTTATGTTTTAAGGAGTAACAATGCACATTTCATATCCTTTTATATTCAGTTTTTTGAATTTTGAAGATTTATTTTATTTATTTGAAAGAGAGTGACAGAGAGAAGAAGAGAGAGAAAAATCTTCCATCTGCTGGTCCACTCCTCAAATGGCTGGATTTGGTCAGGATTGGTCCAGGCCAAAGCCAGGAACCTGGAAATCCATCCTGATCTCCCACATAAGTGGCAGAGGCCCAAGCACTTAGGCCATCTTCTGCTGCTTTCCCGGGGAGCATTAGCATAGAGGTAGATCAGAAGTGGAGCAACTGGGACTCAAACCAGCACTCTGATATGGGATGCTAACATTGCAGGCAGCGGCTTAACCCTCTGCACAATGCCACCACCACCACCACCCCAACCTGCCCCAGTCCTTTTGAATCTTGTAAACCACAGGCAAATGATTAGAATGTTTCAATCCAACGAGTTGGTTTGCCTTATGTGTGTACATTCAATTAATATATCTTTGTTAATGATTGTTTATAAAATAAGCTCACAGTGGGGAAAATATATACTATTTTTGAAATTTCCTGTTTTTCAAAATACATTCCCTTTTTAAAGTGAGTCCATAGCTGACTTCCCTGCAGACACCTCAGACTTCGGCAGTTGTAGCACAAAGCAAACTGACACTCAAGGTAGAACCACACAGGAAACAATGGCTAGATTGTTTCAAATTAATCACCAATATGAGCAAAACACAAAGTCCCAGAGCATTTGCCCTAGAATAGTGACTGAAGTCACTTTAGTGAAACCCCAGCTGGTGTAGAGCATCCCCCAATCTCTGCACATACCCTGAAATGAGGCCCTGTTTCCCTAAAGTCTTCAGGACTGGTAATTGTACAGATTCAATCTAGTTATACCACGATGTTCTAACCCTTTGGTTAGATCCAACCCAAATACACTGGCTTCAACCTAAATCTAATGTCCTAGAAGATGGCATAGCGCAAGTATGAGATATTTCAACAAGTTTATGGAAAGATGAAATTGGAAGTATGAGTTTGGGTGGGCATTTAACCCAGCAGTTAAGACGCCTCTAGGGATACATCCTATATCAGAGTGTTTAGGTTTGAATCCTGTTCCCCTCCCAACTTCAGCTTCCTGATAGTGTGCACATTGGGAGGAAGCAGTTGTGGATCAAGTAATTGTGCTCCTGACTCCCATATGAGAAACCTCGGTTGAGTGCCTGGCTCCTAATTTTGACACCAGCCCAGCCTGGTGGTTGTGAACAGGCAATTGTGATCTCTATCTATCTCTCCCTACCAAATAAGTAAATTAATTAATTAACATTTAAAAATATAAAATATAAAAGTATGAGTTGGTCTTAGCACAAAATTTTGGTGCAAATATTTTTTCATAAAACATGAAAATGTGCATTATGAAAAAATTATGCATGGATTTTAAAAATTTCATGCACCAAAATTAACTCCTTTCCATTTTTTCAATTTTTTTTTAAAGTATCTTATAGCTGTTCTCTGTTCCACCATGCCAGGAGATGATATAATGAATAGCAGAACCAAACCTAAAAATATTTGGTCTCATTTGTTTTTTTCATTTGGTTCCATTTTTACAGCCCAGCTTCAAGGAGATACATTTAAAGACCATTTATAATCCCACATTTGAGGGACAAACTGTCTCATGCCTCAGGATGAGAAGGATCCATGAAGCAGTCTACTCTATGCATTTTTGTTTTTAAACAATAGCACTTCTGACCTGAAAATTTGTAAATAAGTACATTAAAAAGGTGTTATCTGGGGCCTGCGCTGTGGTGTAGCAGGTGAAGCCACCACCTGCAGTGCAAGCATTCCAGGCCAGTTAGGGTCCCAGCTGCTCTCTGCTGTGGCCTGGGAAAGCAGTAGAAGATGGCCCAAGTCTATGGGCCCCTGAGTCCACTTGGAAGACCCGGAGGAAGCTCCTGACCTCTGGCTTCACATCAGTGCAGCTCAGGCCGTTGCGGCCGTCTGGGGAGTGAACCAATGGATGAAAGGCCTCTCTCTCTCTGTCTCTGCCTCTCTGTGGATCTGCCTTTCAAATAAATAAATAAATATTTTTTAAAAAAGGTGTTATACCCAAAATTATGAAGAAATAAGTAAATCCATAAGATGTAGCTATCTCTTCTCTAGAATCACAGCAATGGGGTTTCAAGGGAAAAAATGAACAAAAATAATTTCTGTTGTGTTCCTATTCCTAACAGAACCTGTCTTCTACTTTGGTGATGTCAAGTACTCTGTGGATGAGAGCGCTGGCTACGTGGAAGTGCAAGTGTGGAGGACAGGCACCGACCTGTCTAGGTCTTCAAGTGTCACAGTGAGATCTCGGAAAACAGATCCTCCCTCTGCAGAGGGTAAGCAGTTTCCTGCATCAGCTCTTTTGATTCTCTACAGTGTTCAACTACCAAGACACAAAATAATTTAAAGCTAAAGTACTTCACTCCTATTAAAGCAGTATGGCTGAATGAAATTTTTTTCCTGCAATTATTTCTATATGGCAAAGAACCTGGGCTTTATTTACTACTCTGGGAAAGTACATTTAAAGGGCCATGAAACACAGACTAGCGTTGCAAATGTAAGACATGAAGACTGAATTCTTACACCTATGTTCACATGAATTTGTTCTCAATTCCTGCCAAATATAAAATTGGGGAATGTTGTACCATGTGTGTGAAAATGATCATTGTGACTGCCCTCACAGAAATCTAATGACAGTTAAGTGTCATGCAAAAAAGCACCTTTGATTGGCTCCCTCTTCATCTTAACCCAGCATCCTCATAAATGCTTCAATTAGATATACAAACTTTCCTAGCCAGCCCAACCCTGCCTTTTATTTCAGGCTCTACATCTCCAACAGGTTGATCATAAAATTGAAGGAAAGCAAAGGATTCGAATTTTCCTTGTTTTTCCTAAGTTACCAGCAATATTTTTCATAAATACACACATGCATATTATACACACATCACACAAAGCAAACAGAAGTGATACCATTTTAAAACTGATTCTTAGGGACCGGCACAGTGACACACTAGGTTAATCCTCTGCCTATGGCACCGGCATCCCGTATGGGCGTCGGGTTCTAGTCAGTTTTTCTCCTCTTCCAGTCCAGCTCTCTGCTGTGGCCCAGGAAGGCAGTGGAGGATGTCCCAAGTGCTTGGGCGCCTGCTCCCGCATGGGAGACCAGGAAAGAAGCTCCTGGCTCCTGGCTTTGGATCGGCGTAGTTCCAGCCGTGGTGGCCATTTGGGGAGTGAACCAACGGAAGGAAGACCTTCCTCTCTGTCTCTCTCTCTCTCACTGTCTGTAACTCTACCTGTCAAATAAATAAACAAAAATCTTTATAAAAAAACTTATTCTTAGATATTAACTTTTTTAAAAAAGCAGATTGTTATTTATTTATTTGAAAGACAGAGTTCCGGGGGGCGGGGGGGGAGACGGAGAGAAAGATCTTCCACCCGCTGGTTCACTCCCCAGATGACCACAATAACTAGAGCTGGGCCATCCAAAGCCAGGAGCCAGGAGCTACTTCCAGGTCTCCCTCATGGGTGTAGGGGCCCAAGCACTTGGACCATCTTCCACTGCTTTCCCAGCTATAAACAGAGAGCTGGATCAGAAGAGGAGCAGCCAGGACACAAACCAGAACCCATATGGGATACTGGCACCACAGCGGAAGCTTAGCCTACTATACCACAGCACTGGCCCCTGGGTCTTAACTTTTATTATGCAGTAGAACGAACATAGAGCTTTGCATGCAGCAGATGCCCAGTAATCATTTATGTAGCCAGATTAGTTGTTTCTAACAGAACAATTCAAATCAGAGATTTTGAGAAGGAAAAGAGAATAAAAGGAAAATATTGGAGGGAAAATTAGAAAAAAAAAAACACAAGGAGATACAGGAATCTTTTTTAAAAAATGAATCAAGAAGATACACTTAGGGGCCAGCGCTGTGGCGCAGTGGGTAAATGCCCTGGCCTGAAATGCTGGCATCCCATATGGGCGCCAGTTTGAGACCTGGCTGCTCCACTTCCTATCCAGCTGTCAGCTATGGCCTGGGAAAGCAGTAGAAGATGGCCCAAGTCCTTGGGCCCCTGCACCCATGTGGGAGACCGGAAAGAAGCTCCTGGCTCCTGGCTTCAGATCAGCGCAGCTCCAACCATTGAGGTGATCTGGGGAGTGAATCAGCAGATAAAACACCTCTCTCTCTCTCTCTCTCTCTCTCTCTCTCTCCTCTACTCTACTCTACCTCTCCTTCTCTCTCTGTGTAACTCTGACTTTCAAGTAAATAAATAAATCTTAAAAAAAGATACACCCAAACATAGTTGCATATTAAGGAGAAAAACTGACTCAAAATTTAGAGTCAGAAGAGCAAAAGTTATGAAAACAAGGAAAGAAGAAATAATAGTGAAATTTCATCACCCCACTTTCAGTCTTCATGATTGTAATGACTAAAGACCGAGACAGTTTCCATTTTAACTACTTAGAGATATACAGTAGCATCCTCATATGCAATTTCTCTTTTCACAGTCTCAGTTACTTTCAGTTAACCACAATCTAAAAGTTTTAAATAACAACTAAACAAGTCATGAGCTTTAAATTGCATGGCATTCTAGGTAACATGATGAAATCCTCTGCCATCCCGCTCTCTCCTGCTTAGAACATGAATTATCACTTTGTCCAGAGTGTCTGCACTATATACACTGCCTGCCCATTAATTACTGAGCAGCTCTCCCAGTTATCAGATCGCCTGTCATGACACTGCAGTGCAGTGTTCAAGTAACTCTTACTCAGTAACCGAACACTACATCAAAATGCCTAGGTCATATTTTCTCTTCATCTCATCACATAGGCAATGTATCATCTCATATCACCACAAGAGTTAGCACAGCACAATAAAATATTTTTTGAGGGGGAGGAGGCTATACTTACATAGATTTTATTATAATATAATTGTCCTTTTTTAAGATTTTATTTAATTTATTTGAGAGTTAGAGTTACAGACAGTGAAAGGGAGAGAGAGAAAGGTCTTCCTTCCGTTGGTGCATGCCCCAAATGGCCGCAACAGCCGAAGCTGTGCTGATCCAAAGCCAGGAGCCAGGAGCTTCTTCCACATGGGTGAAGAAGCCCAAGGACATGGGCCATCTTCCACTGCTTTCCCAGGCCATAGCAGAGAGATGGACTGGAAGAGGGGCAGCCAGGACTAGAACCGGCGCCCACATGGGATGCTGGTGCCGCAGGCAGAGGATTAACCTACTGCACCATGGCGCTGGCCCCAATTGTCCTATGTAGTTATTATTATTATTTTTAACTTTTTAACTTTCTTTTTTTAAATTGACAGGTAGAGTTAGAGACAGTGAGAGAGAGAGAGACAGAGAGAAAGGTCTTCCTTCCGTTGGTTCACTCCCCTAATGGCCGCTACAGCTGGCACTGCGCTGATCCGAAGCCAGGAGCCAGGTGCTTCCTGCTGGTCTCCCATGCGGGTGCAGGGGCCCAAGCACTTGGGCCATCCTCCACTGCCACAGCAGAGAGCTGGACTGGAAGAGGAGCATTCGGGACTAGTACCCAGTGCCCCAACTGGGACTAGAACCCGGTGTGCTGGCACCGCAGGCGGAGGATTAGCCAAGTGAGCCACGGCACCGGCCGTCATTATTATTGTGATCTCTTAATGTCCCTAATTTTAGATTAAACTTTAGGAGCCAGGGTTTTGGTGTAATGGGTTAAGCTGCTGCCTGAGACACCAGCATCACATACGGGTGCCGGTTCAACTCCTGGATGCTCCACTCCTGATCCAGCTCCCTGCTAATATGCCTGGGAAAGCAATGGAAGGTGGCCCAAGTGCTTGAGTCCCTTCTAGGAAACCTAGAAACTCCTAGCTCCTGGCTTCAGGCTGGCCCAGCCCCAGCCATTGTGGCCATTTTGGGAGTGAACCAGTGGATGAAAGATCTCTCTATCTCTCCCTCTCACTCTCTATGACTATGCCTTTCAACTAAATTTAAAAAAAAATAAACTTTATAATAGGTATGTATGTATGGAAAAAATATTATATAGAATTTGCCATGATTCACAATCTCAAGCATCCATCCACTATCTGTCTTAGAACATATTCCTGGATAAAGGAGGACTACTGTAAATGGAGGTGTCAACACTAGCTATATACCCTTTGGATTGAAAAATATTAAATCAAAAATCAAGCACATCTGAGAATAGAAACTTGATTGCATTGCCTAGGTATCTATGGGTGGAGTAGGTGGACAGAAGCTCTTTATTGAAATGTATCGCAGGGGCCAGCACTGTGGCGCAGCAGGTTAAAGCCCTGGCCTGAAGCGCCAGCATTCCATATGGGCGCCACTTCTAGTCTCAGCTGCTCTTCTTCCAATCCAGCTTCCTGCTGTGGCCTGGGATAGCAGTAGAAGATGTCCCAAGTCCTTAGGCCCTGGCACCCACGTGGGAGACCGGGAAGAAGCTCCTGGCTCCTGGCTTCAGATTGGCACAGCTCCGGCCGTTGCAGCCATCTGGGAAGTGAACCAGCAGATTGAAAACCTCTCTGTCTCTACCTCTTTCTGTTACTCTATCTTTCAAATAAATAAAATAAATCTTAAAAAAAAGAAATGTATTGCATTAATCAAGACACCTACATAGGATGTACTATGGTAGCTTCAAAAATATAGATGTTTAAATAATGTGAATAAAATTTTAAATGTAAATATTTCATGAACAAGGTACTTTAAAAAGGTTGCAGAGAATGGAATTGAAAAGCAAGTTTAATTTTTACAAATTTTTTTACAAATCATGCATAATTTTTCATAACATATATTTTAAGAGCTTTTTGGAGATATTCTCATTTAATCTTTGATAATCATTTATGTGACTATTGAACTAATTTCTTCAGATTTGATTTTTATTAGAAGATTCTGAAATAAAAACAGAGGAAGCTTAACACAGAAAGTTAAGTAGCTAACCCAAAGTCCAACCAGTAATATGGATAAAGTTCAGATCCCAGTCTTTGATCTACCACCTCAAAATCCTGGGAGATATGGGGCCTGTGCTGTGGTGTAGCGAGTGAAGCCACCACCTGCAGTGCTGGCATATCATGAGGGCACCAGTTCCCGTCCCAGCTGCTCCATTTCTGGTCCAGCTCTCTGCTGTGGTCTGGGAAAGCAGTGGAGGATGGCCCGAATCCTTGGGCACCTGAACCTGCATGGGAAACCCAGGAGAAGCTGTTGACTCCTGGCTTCAGATCGGCACAACTACAGCCATTACGGCCAACTGGGGAGTGAACCAGTGGATGGAAGACCTCTCTCTCTCTCTCTCTCTCTCTCTCTCTCTGCCTATCCTTGTCTTTCTGTGTAACTCTGACTTTCAAATAAATAAATAAATCTTTAAAAAAATCCTGATAGATACTAATCTTATGTGTTTCATTAATTGTACTTTCTTGAATTGTTAGGCTGGTTTCTGTTTTTGAAAGATAATTATAAATGTATCCATATCATTTATTTCTCATATTATATTTAATTTAGTTGCTCCCCAACTGACTATTCCTTTTGTCACTAATACAGCTGGAACAGACTATGTGGGAATCAGTCGTCACTTAGATTTTGCCCCTGGAGCCAACATGCAGACTGTTCGTGTTATCATTCTGGATGACCTGGGACAACCAGTGCTGGAGGGAATTGAGAAATTTGAACTGGTGCTTCGTATGCCCATGAATGCAGCCCTTGGCGAGCCCAGCAAAGCCACTGTGACCATAAATGACTCTGTCTCTGATCGTGAGTGTTTATTAATTTTCCAATATAAGCTATAGTTTATATAAATGATATGTGAAATGATAATATGACTATTGAAAACTCTATTCATTTCTTAGGGCTGCCATCATAAAGTACTAAAGACTGGGGGGCTTTGTGGGGAGCAACTCGGACTAGACTAAGTTACTGGAATTAAGACTTATTCTATGCATCTGCTCTCCCACAATATGGCGCTGGGAGAGGAGGAAACAGCTTCTACGCAGCTGCCTCCAGTTCAACCAATAAACTGCAGGACCTGCTCCTGATTGGAGGAGAGCAGCGTGCTCGGCGTGTGGGTAGCAGAGTTGGGATTGGTGGAAGAGGACTATAAAGGAGGAGAGAGACAACATGCACCAGGAACATCTATCTGAAGGAACACCTGTGCAGCCCCCGAGAGAGCCGGCCGGTGGTGTGCCGCTCCCCCGCGGAAGTGGGGAAAGTGGCAGGGGGGCCCGCCCCTCCACAGAGGTGGAGGGATGGCAGCCAACCCGGGAAGAACCAGCAGCAAACCTGGGGAGGGCCGAGCAGACAAAAGAACAGCGCAGGGTCCAGTGTCGTTCCTCCGCGAAGAGGGGGAGTGACAGGGCTTAAACAACAGAACTTTGCTGTCTCATAGTTATTGCCAAAAGTCCAAACTCGAGGTGTTGACAGAGTTGGTTCCTCCTGGGAGTGGTAAAGGAAGGATACTCCAGGCCTCTCTCCTTGCTCTGTTGATGGTCATCTTGTCCCTGGGTCTCTTCACATCATCTGACCTCTATTTGAGTCTCTTTGTCCAACTCCCCCCTTTTTTATGAGGACATCAGTCATGTTGGATTAGGGACCATCCTAATGACCTCATTTGAGTTGTATAGACCTTACCTCACATTCTCAGGAACTCAGGGTTAGGAATTCAACATTTGGTTGAGCAGGTGGTCATAGTTTGAACCATAACAGTACCTTAACTGACTAAATTTTGCTTTTTCATCCTGATCATTTTGATAGTTTCGGAAGAAAATTTTTAAACTTCTTTATAAATATTAAAGGAAAACTGTTACTGTCATTACTGTCTTGAGTGTGCCGCAAGGATTCCCTCTCCAAAGATGGTTGAGTTCTCAGGGGCCAACATTGTGGCTTAACAGGTTAAGCTGTGTGCAATGCTGGAATCCCATGTGGGCACCATTTCAAGTCCCCACTGCTACACTCCCAATCTAGCTCCCTGCAAATGTGCATGGGAAAGCAACAGAAGAAGGCCAGATAAAACGAAAGATCCAGAAAAAACTTCTGGCTCCTGACTTCAGATTGGCCCAGCCCCAGCTGTTACAGCCATTTGGGGAGTGAACCAGCGGATTGAAAATATCTTTCTCTCTATCTCTCTAACTCTGCTTTTCAAGTAAATAAAACAAATTTTAAAAAGATATGTATGATTAGGACCCCATAGAGTTATACAGACCTTGAGTATCAAAACTTCTTTTTCATTTCTCAGCACAAAACACTTTCTGTCAATTCATTCACCCAGATATTCCTCAACTTTCCCTAACAAGGTGCCAGAAGTGTTCTGAGTCAGCTCTCTGGTGGACAGGACTTTCTGATACCCATCACAAGTGTATTCAGAACACTCTTCAACCATGAGGATTCTGATGGTGCAGTCTAAACTGTTATCAATGAGATGTGTAGTTAATTGGCCCAGCTCAAGAGTCACCTGAAAATCTCCACACACAGAAAGGGATAGGCATTTGGCTTCCTAATTAAGACACTACTTGGGACACTCATATTCAGAGTGCCTGGGTTTGAGTCCAAGCTCTGCTCCTGATTCCATCTTCCCCTTAATGTGCACCCCGGGAGGCATGTAGTTGCACCCCTGCCGCTTACATGGGAGGCTTAGATTGAGATCCAGCCTCCTCACTTCAGTGGGTCTAACTCAGAACTTTACAGGCATTAGGGGAGTGAACCAGAGCATGAATGCTTTCTGCCTCTGTTGCTCTGACTCTCAAATAAATAAAATGCATAAATTAATTTGTTTAAGATTTATTTTATTCATTTAAATGACAGAGTTACAGAGAGAGGTAGAGACAGAGAGAGAGCGAGGTCTTCCATCTACTGGGATCCAGACCCCAAATGGCCACAATGGCCAGAACTGAGCCAATACGAAGCCAGGAGCCAGGATCTTCTTCCAGGTCTCCCACGTGGGTGCATGAGCCCAGGGCTTGGGCCATCTTCCACTGCTTTCTCAGGCACATTAACAGGGAGCTGGATTGGAAGTGGAGCTGCTGGAACTTAAACTGGCACCCATGTGGGATGCTGGAGCTACAGGCTGGAGCCTTAACCGACTGTGCCACAGCACCGACCCCATAAATTAATTTTAAAAAAATTAAACACACACATACACACACACACACACACACACATTGTCAACTTTTCCAGCATGCCTGGATCAACTTTTTATAAGTAATGCATGGCATGCAGTGTTCTTCAAAAGCTCATGATTAGGCAATGTATATGGATACAAATACCTTAAATTCTCTAATTTTATCAACTTTTTAGCATATCTTTATTCCACAAAATTTCAAAGGTAAAGAAATCAAAACTTGATTTTCTCAAGGTCAAAATATTGGCAAGTGACATAGAGAAAACTGGAATTCAATTTTTCCTCACTTCTTTTCTGTAATTCTTTCTACTAAACTACATCTTTTGAAATGCTGTTTTCCTTAAGGAAATTTCTGTTTGCTCTGATCTGTGTGTGTATTTGGATTCTCAGTGCCTAAGATGCAATTCAAAGAGCGAATGTACACTGGCAGTGAAAATGATGGGCAAATAGTTGCAGTGATCCACAGGAGTGGAGATATCCAGTACCAGTCCTCAGTGAGATGCTACACGCGGCAGGGGTCTGCACAGGTGATGATGGACTTTGAAGAACGGCCGAACACTGACATCTCTGTCATCACATTTCTCCCTGGTAAGTCTGAGCTTGAGATCGTCATATGAGCTTATGAGACCTCAGTGTCTGCTGAGAAATATGTATCAGAAAAATGGATAGCTTGATTTCATCGAGCTAATTACATAGCTTTATGTAAATGACAATAAGCTGAGGTAAATTGTAACAGGTTATGTCTTCTTGGTTTCTATATTAACTTTTTAATTTTGTGCTATATTATTTATTCAGAATGTTTCACTGGACAGAAGCATATCGAACAGATTTCACAATGCCTGGAATTAAACATAATGTTTAAGTGAACAGAAGGGAAAGGGAAGGAAACGGATCTCAGATTTTTAATATGTATACAGTGCCTTAAAATATTTCATCAGTTTTAACCAGTAATTGTACTTAGAGGTATATATTCCAATAAAAAAGAGTCATAAAAGTACAGAAAGTTTTCCTTATATAAAAGATTGAAAATAACTTGAGTAATCAGTAATTTGAGAATTATTCATTTGAGCATCCAATTGATAGTGTGTTTTTTGCCATTAAGATGTTTTAAAGAGTATTCATGAGACAAAAAAGTTGAGAATATGATATTGGTCTCATTCTTTGGAGATTAGGACCTGAATGTTCTTGGCTCAATACATCAAAAGTCAGTAACCCTAGAAACTACTATTGTTAAGTCCACAGTGAACAAAAAGCCTAAGACCACTAAGTTGGCTTCCTAATTTTAAGGTTAGAAATTTTATGAACAAAATTGACATTTGTTGTATTTTCCTTCTTTTCCAATGTGAATGACAAAACTTAGAGATATTAAATAAGTTCTCTGTACAAACAGGGGCCTGCCATTATTAGTGTTCAGATATTTATTCATTTGCTTTGCAGATATCTGTTCAGGCTTTTTCCATGCCAAACACTATTTTTCACAAGACAACAACAGAAAGAAAAACAGCATCCTGGTCCTCGTGGTGTTTGCATTCTAGTTGCCAGTGTATCCGTCTTGGCCTGTGGGATGCGGTTGACTCACCATGGTCATTATTGTTTCAGGCGAGACTGAAAAACCTTGCATTCTGGAGCTGATGGATGACACACTCTATGAGGAGGTTGAGGAGCTCCGCTTGGTTCTGGGCACTCCACAAAGCAGCTCTCCCTTTGGGGCTGCAGTTGGCGAACAAAATGAAACCCTGATAAGGATCCTAGATGATGCTGATAGTAAGAAGTCATTTTTTATGCTCTGCTGTAAATTTGGAACTCAAATCCAGCCTTGTTGCAGTTTTAGGAGGTTAAGTAATTCCTCTATCTGACTGAGATTTTAAAGCAACTGAGAAAAACACTAGGACAAGTGGGGAACAAAATAAACCCTTAAAATCAATCAAATTGATGTTGGGGAATATGGCTTACATCTAAATACTGAACCCCAAACATCCACACCGGACCTGTTCACTGCCCCCCACCTCCTAGCCCATTGCCTCATAACACCCTTAGGTATTGGCTGTCCTAGGATATGTTTTCCTCTTTTCCCTCTCCCTGTAAGGATCCTTCTCCTGAATAATTTAGTGTACCTAGGATCATCCTGGTGCACATGCTCTTTGGAGTCAGATTAATTCCCAGGAGAAACTGGGCCACACATTTAAACTTTTCCTTCGACACTCACCACTTACATGGAGTGACAGGACAAAGTGTAATAGTCATTAAGCTCTTTCCATATGGAAAGAAACATTAGAAATGGGGAAAATGCATTCCTATTACTAGCGATTTAATTTTCCTGTGTTTACTGCAATTTTAGAGACTATTATTAAATTTGGAGAGACCAAATTTATCATCACTGAACCCAAGGAACAAGGAGAGTCAGTGATTATAAAAATTCCAGTGATTCGCCAAGGAGACACCTCCAAAGTTTCCATTGTGAGAGTCCATACCAAGGATGGATCAGCCACGTCAGGAGAAGATTATCACCCCGTATCGGAAGGTACAGTTTCCCAGAGCCCACCTCCAAGAGGATTGTGCCATCAATGAATATTAGTACCTGTGCCCTTGAGAAAGAGAAGAGAAATATCCAACTGAAACAAAAACAAACCACTCTTTCACATCCATCACCTTCAGCAACACAAATACAGTAGAATTTATTTCTGGCATTTTCTTTTTTGACTTCTAGAGTACATGTGTCAGGAGTTAGGGACCTTTTATTTTTGAGTCTACTTTAGTTTCTACTGATTTTACCTTTGGTAATCAGATATTAGATGATAATTTCCTGTAATTTTCTTTTACATTGAAAATTTACATAATTGCCAGAGTGATTATCAATTTTAGTTGAGATAATATAAAACTAACAATCTAAAATTAAAGCTAGAATGTTATGCATGACCATAGCACACAAAAAGTGATGAAATTATATTTATAAATTAAGCCAACGCAGATTTATTTTTAATTAAAGTTTAGAAATTAGTAGGCCAGAAATGATCAGCTATTTTCATCCTCTGGAATAAGAACTATAAGTTCTTTTTGAGTATGAAAAATATCTAGTGAACTCAAAACATATGCCAAGTCTAGAATGACTGTTATATCTAGAAACAGAACTAATTATAAAGTGTGGTTTACTAATGCCATTTTAAAGGAAAAAAAAAAGCCCTCTTTGTAATCTATAATAAAAGCATTGAAGTAGAAAAATAGACACACTTGAAGGTGCATTTTATTCTAGCAAATTCCAGGATTTATAATTTATAATTATCATGACTTATCTGCAATTATAACAGAAAGTAACATCTGCCATCTCCTCTAATTGAAATGATTATGCTTTATACTTTTTTTCTCTTCTGAACTTGTTCCTAGAAACTATAGTAAAACCACCAAAATAGTTTGTCCAAGCTTAGCAGTACAGTCATGCTTAATCATGAGTTTAATAAAATCCAATAATTTTGAACATTTTGGTAATTTGGGGGTGATATTGAAGAAAAATATTTTGATAACTGGATTTAATTTTCACAACAATGAAGCAATTTTTTAACTGAGAAGTGACAGAGTGAGGGGAAAACTAATTAACATTTATCTAAATAATTCTATTTCCAAGAACAACAGCAAAAAGAATTCTTTAGGAAGGATGTACTTTTCTCTGAAGGGAGGAGAGAACTTCCACTTTGCTTATGGCTGTGTCCAAATACTGATGGAGTCTATGGTCACAAAAGGCTCCCATAGCCTTGGCAGCCCATGGCAAGAGCCTCGGGTGATCACTGATGTCATAAATAATTGTTCATTGGTAAAGGAACAACAGAAGTCACTGTGTACTTACTCCCCATGTAGAACCTCCATCCTTAATGAGTTGTACTATGAGAATTAAAATCTGCAAAACTTGTTCTCAACCTGTACTCTATATGTTGTATGTGTGTGTGTGTGTGTGTGTATGCAAACTGTTGAAATCTATACTTAACATAGAGTTGGTCCTCCATATATAAAATCAAAGTAAAAATGAACCATAATGAAGAAGGGGATGGGAGAAAGAGTAAGAGATGGGACAGGAGTCGGGGTGGGATGGTGGGTATGGGGAAAAGAACCACTATATTCCTAAAGCTGTACCTATGAAAAATGCATTCATTAAATAAAAGCTTTTAAAAAAGAAGTCTTTGGGAACTAAAATTCCAAATTATTAATTTCACCTGAAAACCAATAATTTTATATCCAGGTTTTCTACATATACACATAATGTAAATACCATTCACACTCAATTACAACTGTGACCCCATTCAACTGGCAGGTCCTATTACTTAGAAATTTTGGGGAATGACAGGAGAGTTTAAACTGATTCTCAGTTTTAGAATTTTGACTGTTCCACAACTCAACATATTTTCAAATTGTGACTAACAAATCATAAATAGCTACTTTTGATTAGAATGTTTTTGAATAAGATAGAATTTAATAGAAAATATTAGGTTCCAAATATATATAGTAAGAATAAGTTATATCTGTTAAACTCTTGAGTCACTTTGATTTGTACACACAAAAATGTACACACACATACACACACACAAATATGAAATGTGTTTCTCATCGTAGGCAACACTCCCAAAAGCTTGACAAATGCTACTCACATTCACATGCAACACATTTAATTCTGTGATGTTGCTTTTGTAGAAATTGAGTTCAAGGAAGGAGAAACCCAACACATTGTTGAAATTGAAGTTATCTTCGATGGAGTAAGAGAGATGAGAGAGGCCTTCACTGTCCATCTGAAGCCTGATGAAAATATGATAGCAGAGACACAGGTAAGTGGTACAGTGTGTATATAAATTCATGATGCATGCTGTATCATAGAAAATACATATAGAAATCCTATCACATGAAAAAAAGTAATTAGGTTTTGTGTAAGACTTATGTACATGAAAGGAATGTACATGATCTCTCTTCATTGCCCAAATATATTTTGTTCCATTTATAGTAAAATCAAGAAACTCCTACCACTTTTTTGAAAAACGACATGTAAGAAACTCAAGGCTTGGAGTCCCCCAGTCCCACATTATCCCATGTCAGTCAATAAGGATTGGATTCCCCAAAGAAAGCACAAAAATGAGACAATTAATTCAACACTGTATCTCATTACAATATATGGCAGTACTTAAAACATCAGTGGAAAAATGTAAATAAAATTAATTTCATTTTGTTATAAAAATGTTTTGAGATCCATGCATAGTTTTTCATAATACACATTTTCTGAATATTTTTGAGGACCTCTCATAAAACCACATTCCAAGTAATTTTGCACCTAAATAAATACATCCTTTAGTTACATTTTTCACCAAATTTTGTATGTATCCTTACACATTTTAACCTACAAAACAGTTTGCTAACCTTCAAAATGCCCACATAGGGGCAGGCATTGTAGCACAGTAGGTTAAGACACTGTTTGGGGCTCCCACATTCCATATTAATAGCAGATGATGGCTTAAGTCCTGCCACAAATGTGGAAGACCTGGATGAAGTTACAGGCTCTATGCATCAGCCTGGCCCAACTCTGGCTGTTGCAGGCATTTGGGGAATGAACCAGTGAATAAAATCTCTCTCTATTCTCTGTCTCTCTCTCTTTCTATGTCACTCTAGCTTCCAAATAAATAAACAAATAAATATTTTAAAGACCCACGTGTTCCTCCTAGCTTTATCAGAATTTGATGTCCAAAGTCTTAAGTCTTAATGACCGAAATATAGCAGTCCTGAAACATGTTTTCTGTTTATTTATTAATATTATATAATAAATAAGATTTTCCTCAAGATAAACAGAATATCCATAGAATTTTGACCTTCACACTGAAGATAATTTATTAAACTCAAATGCATATCATTTTAGGAACAGATCAATTTCTATAATAACTATGCAAAATTTTACCATATTGCTTTTATTTGTTTCATCATTATGAGATAAAATTAGGGAAATCTTTTCCTTAAGTCTTTTTATTGTTTTATAATCTTTATCACTTGATAGTGTTTCTATTTGATGGTGTTTTCCGGGTCAAATTTATAATTTAAGAAATATGAGCAGAATCTTTATCAAATCTATTTTTATGTCTTGATCACATAAAGATGAATCTATTTTGATTTTTATGGAGTACTATATGAAACTCTTCTGGGTGAAAGGAACAGAGATTCACTTCAATCACTTCCAGGAAAAAAACTTCTTTTAAAACATGCAGTGATCCCCGACTTACTATGGTTCTACTTAATGATATTCCAACTTTATGTGGTGCAAAAACAACAGTTATTCAGTAGAAAGCACACCTCAGATTTTGAATTTGGACCATTCCCAGGCGAGTGTTACAAGATCTGAGCCTCTCTCTTCATTCTGAGAAGAAGCACTTGCTTCAGCTCCCAGCCACCACCATGGTCACGAGAGGACACAACCAACACTACATCGTGTTGTGCTGCCAAGCTGTGATGTTCTATAAGTTAGGTTTATTTAATGCATTTTTAATGTATGATATTTTCAATTTATAGTGGTTTATCAGAATATAACTCCATTTTAAATCAAGGCATATATGTACATGTTAATATAAGTTGGAAACAGTAATACATAGTCAAGTACTGGAAGATTATTCAGAAACTAGGGATAATTGACAGCAGGTATTCCAGCTGCCTACTCAGCAGCAGACGTTCACAGATTCCTCTTCTGTCTGGAGCTATACTGCCCCCTCTTACCCATGCTTTAACTGGTGCCTTCTACCCTCTGTTTTTTAGAGTTTCATCTCTAGCATGCATTTTATCGTGGCCCACACCATCCCATGACCTCTATGTTCTTACTCCTCTCAATGTGTCTTTCAGCTTCCTCCCAATTCCAACTCACTAACTTTTTCATAAGATTTCCACGTCACAATTGCAAGACAGATTTAGCAATGACTGTCACAATTGGAAAATAACATTAGAGCTCAAATACCTTGTGGGCCACTAGCCAACCTATGGATTAGGCTATGTCTTCTCTCCTGGGGCCATATCAACAAGGGACCAGGGTCACAAGCAACAAACCACATAGGACCAGTCACTCCGTTGGGTTCTGGGCATTGACAAAACTCATCAAATGAAGACCATAGATTTTCCAGGCATCATGAGTGTGATCCTACACAATGGAAACAGTAAAAGTCTATTCTTTCACTAATTATTGCTAATCATCTTTCCTTCCCAGATGACCAAAGCCATTGTGTATATAGAAGAAATGAACAGCATGGCAGATGTCACTTTTCCCTCAGTCCCCCAAGTTATGTCCTTGCTGATGTATGATGACACTTCCAGAGCTAAGGAAGGAACTGGTCCTGTGTCTGGCTATCCTGTCATCTGCATCACAGTGAGTAGCAAATTACCAAAGCTGAAGGAAATTGTGAGATAACTATTTTAAATAATTATAAACCTTAATCAACATGGTACTGTTCTTATCACAAAGTGTGGGAAGTACTGAAAGGTTTAAGATTTGTGCTTTGAAAAGGAAGATACAACATTAATTAAATAAACTCCCAGTTTTCTCTTTATCCTATCTAACAATGATTAATTGATGTTATGTAGTGTGTTATCTCAGAGACTGTCAGTGATTAAAATAAACAAGATAGGACTTCTGCACACAGGAATTTAAAATTCAGGAAGAGGAAAATATACAGGAATCAGTAACTGTGGAATAGGGCACGATGTGGTCATTATACAAATGATAAAAATTGGAAGCCAGAGCTGCTGCTCAGTGTGTGTGGGAAGACTTGTGGGTTTGAATAGTTTAAGAATCAGACAAGGGAGGGGTGGAGGTTGTGGCGTCATAGTGCCTAAAGCCGCTGCCTGCAGTGCCAGCATCCCATATGGGCACCGGTTCAAGTCCTGGGTGTTCCACTTCCGATCCAGCTCTCTGCTATGGCCTGGGAAAGCAGTGGAAGATGGCCCAAGTGCTTGGGCTGCTGCACCCACATGGGAGACCCAAAAGAATCTCCTGGATCCTGGCTTCGAATAGGCCCTGCTCCAGCTGCTGCGGCATTTGGGGAATGAATCAACAGATGGAAGATCTCTCTCTCTCTCTCTCCTCTCTCTCTCTCTCGTCTCTGCCTCTCTATAGTTCTTCCTTTCAAATAATAAAGTAGATAAATCTTTAATAAAAAGAGTCAGATAAGGGAAGATAGTTACAGAAGGAAGTAATTGCAACAGCTAAAGGAATAGCAGAAGAAACAGCCCATTATCCTACTTTGCTAGCTCTCCTTCTCTTGACTCCAAATTTTAAGCTTCTTTTGAGAAAATCTATTATTTACTTGTTTTTAATCATAATAACCCTAGTACAATGACCTACCTATATACTAAATTAACATTTATTGGATTAACAAAGCAGTAGCAATAATTTGGTGCTAGATTACAGGAATCTTTAAGTGCCATATTAAGGAGTTTGTTCTTCATTTTTTGGGCGGCAAAGTTTGCACAGAAATATGGCACAATCAAAAGGTTTATGTTGCAGTGTTTACAGGGCAGGAGTGCTAATAACAGGGCAGTATGTGTCAGTTGCTAGGGAGAAAAGGCCTGGAATTAAGCAGGCAGATGGTGGTGAGAAGGGACCAAAATAGGAAACATTGTAATATAGTAACATTCATTAACCCACTGGATATGGAAGGGAGGAGGAAAGGGGAAGAGGGAAGGAGAGACACAAGGAAGAGAAAGAATAGGATAATTTGGCAAATCTGATTAACCAAGAGATAATTATCTGATTAACACTTTTATTCATATTAGAAGTAAAAATATATAAACTGTTTGAATTCAAGCTTGGAGTTCATTCATGAAAGCAGAAATTTGGAAACTGTGTGAACAGCATGTACAAATTGGGAGAAAAAAGACCTGTAGTGAAAACACTATTTTTGTGGGGTGGCTGGGTCCAGGTTCTTGTCTCCAATGCAAGAAAGAATTTCAGAATTAAAGGTCAGAGTTGGGGCTGGCGCTGTGGTGCAGTGGGTTAAAGCCCTGGCCTGAGGCGCTGGCATCCCATATGGGCGCCAGTTCTAGTCTCAGCTGCTCCTCTTCTGATCCAGCTCTCTGCTGTGGCTTGGGAAAACAGTAGAAGATGGCCCCAGTGCTTGGGCCCCTGCACCCACATGGGAGACCCAGAAGAAGCTCCTGGCTCCTGCCTTTGGATTGGCGCAGCTTTAGCCATTGCAGCCATCTGGGGAGTGAATCAGCGGATGGAAGACCTCTCTCTCTGTCTCTACCTCTCTCTGTAACTCTGTCTTTCAAATAAATAAAATAAATCTTTTTATTAAAAAAAAAAAGGTCAAGGTATTTACATGCAAAATAGATGTACACTCTCCTTGACTGTGAGCATACTTGAGAGAGAGCTGCACTTGAGAGAGAGCTGCACTCAGTAATCTGGAGGCATAGAGGATAGTGTCTAGGGTGGGATTGAATTGAATATTCACAAGTGGTAGAGTTTGCTCTTTTATGGAAATCTCAGAAGTGTCACACATCAGGTGCATGATGGGAATGGGAGTGCCAGCCATGGCAATTTTATTGTAATGACATTATAAAGAGCTAAAGATCATCACAGGGACACAACTGGTGGCCATGTTGATTGTTTTCAGCTGTTGCCGGTTCTAAGCACTGGATTCATGGAACCCGTAGGGATTTTGTATGGGTAGAAGGGTCAGAGGGGTGTTGGGCAATGCAGGAGGGGGCTGTGGCACAGAGAGTGTTGCAAGGAGGGGCTGGCAATCCCCACACGTATATCACTAGGATAGAGAGAACTTGAGAGGAGTAAATTCCATATTGTGCTACACTGTGGTCCTAACATAGTTGTTTCTTTTCCATAGGCTTGCAACCCCAAATATTCAGACTACGACAAAACAGGCTCTATTTGTGCCAGTGAGAACATCAATGACACTTTGACGCGGTACCGATGGCTGATTAGCGCTCCCGCTAGCCCTGATGGTGTCACCAGCCCCATGAGGGAAGTGGACTTTGACACTTTTTTTACATCATCAAAGATGATCACGTTAGACTCCATATACTTTCAGCCTGGCTCCCGAGTACAGTGTGCAGCTCGTGCCGTGAACACTGACGGGAATGAAGGCCTGGAGCTGATGAGCCCTATTGTAACCATTGGCAGGGAAGAAGGTAAGACCTGGACATTTTCCAGGAATGAGCACTGGAATCCCGTGGAATATTACAAATGTCTGAATTTAGGTTATTAATTTTTCCATATGCCCATGTGTTTCATAATATTCTGTCAGTATTTAAAAATGAAAATCTATTTTTATGAAATTATTCACTGGAAAACATATTTATTCATTCCACATTTTTAAGCAACTATGATATGCTAAAGAAATTGGAAAAATAAGAAAAGGAAATATGAAAAATAAGGTCGTATCCTTGACCTTGAGGAATTCATAATGAAGTTAAAGATAGAGATACATTTTAGCATGAATAGGGCACAGAAATGCAGAATTAGAAGTGAGTAGTTCCACCCTGAGTGAGTCAGAAAAGGCTCATAAAAGAGGAGATGCTTCGGCCGAAGTTGGACAATGGTCGAGCAAGATAAAGAATGAGCAATGACTGATAGAAGCATGGAAGAACATGGGATCTGCCGTATACAACACACTAGTGAAGAAATGGGGAAGCTCTGGAGAGGGAGAAGTGGCACCAGGAGATGGAGTGCAGGGACCAGATGTGGACGGGCATCCATATGACCTGGGAGGAGTTCAGTGGCTGCTGGGTGACCAGGAGTCTGTGACAGGTGGGGAAGGATAGTCAGGACAAAGACAAATGTGCACTTGTCTTACCTTGGTATTACAAGGCTTGGGGCTGGAGTCAAGGATATACTGAGGATGGAGAATAGGATGTGGCTAGAGATGAGAAATCCACTTTGTAAACTAATGCTTACTCTGCAGAAAAAGTTTTAATTAGTTTTTTAAAGATAATATTATATGACTCTACTTCTAAAACATTCATTTGCATTGAACATTCAGAAGTGTATTTGTTACATAAAGAAAGATCATATGTTCATCACCACCATGGTGTATTCAGTATCATATGTGAATATCATATGTAATAGACATGCTAATTTATTAGAATTAAAATATATGATTTTTAAGTTTCTGGTGAAACCTAGGCTATTAAACAATGCCTTAAAATGAGTCCTCCTATTAGTAAAGCAGACAACTGAGGTGCTGGGGCCTGCTTTTGACTTTATTGTTCTAATAAATACCTATTTCCTCTGTTTTGTGCAAATAGAAATTACATATTTCCCAATAATTAAAATCATAATCCAGCATCTTCTTCCTTTCCATGATGATAAATTTAAGATATCAAAATTATCTTAAAGAAAATGTTGGAGGAGGAGTTTCATTTTAAAATTATTGGAAGTTATTGAGAGATATCTTTTAGATAGATGATAGGAAGGAAGGAAGGAAGGAAGGAAGGAAGGAAGGAAGGAAGGAAGGAAGGAAGGAAGGAAGGAAGGAAAATGGAGGGAAGGTAAAAAGAGAAGAGAGAGAGAGAGAAAAGGAGGGATGGAGGAGGGAGGGAAGGAAATAAATAAAAAGAAACATGACTGTTTCTCTGTTAAGAAACAGAATAATCTGCTATCTACATTTTGTTGTTGGATTTAGTTTTTGCTTTTAAAATTAGTGCACTTTTAGTTTTACACACTAATAAATAATGTATATTTTTAAACTACTCAAGTACATCGTTCTAGGGTAAAAATTAAATTCATGTAATAAAATTATACTTAAATTTTCATATTGACTTTTGGTCATTTTTTACCATATCTGCTCATAGTTTAAATTAAAATGATTTTGTGAATACGATCCTAAACTAGAATGGCCAGTGCATATGAAATCACATTGAGTAGTAACTACTTCCTTCTCAATCTCTGAAACATCAAGGGGCACTGAGCCATCTGCTGGGATGACTTTTCACACTGTGCTCCCTGCTTCCTTGTAGTACACACTCTTAGCTTTGCCCCAATCCACAGATAATTTAAAGTACATGGAAAAGTAATAGCACCTGCTTTGAAAATACTCTGGAGGTGACCTCTATTATCTTCTTTTAGCATAAATATTCATTTTTTTCCTTGAGGTCTTTGTCAGCCGCGTGTGCCAGGGGTAGTGGGAGCAGAGCCGTTCTCAGCTAAATTGCGCTACACAGGCCCCGAGGATCCAGACTTCGCAAACCTCATCAAACTCACTGTCACAATGCCACACATAGACGGTAGGTGACTTGGGTAAGCCAGTCCGTGGACATGTTTGGGTTCCTCATGGTATGGTTTATTTTGCTTAATCTTCTGAATAACCATGTTTAGATCAGTGCTCTATTTGCAACTAGAAATTAAAGCCCTGTGTCTTTCAACTGTTTCTACTTTCTTTCTACTCAGTTTTTAAAGTTCTGACCCTTGAAATAGTCTTTCAAATTAGATGTTTAACATATGTCCAAAGACAATGAATCAAACTTTCTTTATTTGCTAGCTTACTATGAAAGAGCACAGATATGTCTTCAGACTTGAACTTGGACTTGATTTATCAATGTTTAACTTCAACATGTACTGACTATTTCATAACTGGGGTTTTATAAGTCTCTCAACATTGATCCTATAACAAAGATATCTCTTATACATTAAAATATAATAAAATGTGATACTAATAGGGGTCATAGTCATATTTTGTGTTCATTTTCTACAAGTAAAGAAACATTGCTTTATGAACATTTTCCCATGTATCAAAAGGCATTTTCAAGTTATTTTCCGTTCAATTCACTCTGTACATTAAGTAAATGTCTAATATTAATTTTATTACATGAAATGTTATGTTTTATGCATCTGAGCAAGTGGAACTAGGCAACGTTAGGAATGGCAAGGTAGAACCCTCCTCTCCAAGAACAACAACACCCTGCTGTGTCTGCTCATTAACAAACCCAAACTTGTGTTTCTGAGAGAGGGGAAAGCTAGATTGGATTCTGCATCTCTTTACAGCAAAGCATTGCCCCCACATCTGACCGTCCTTTCTATAAGCCCAGGTGTGAGTGTGGCTCTAAGACTCAAAGGGCTGACAAAGGACCCATGAGGAGAAACCAGACTTCTAACAGTTTTTTCCTAATAGAGAAGGGGTCCCTTTTGCCGCCAACAGAGTTTGACTTTACATTCTCTGTGATGTTCTATACAGCAGCTCTCCCAGGAGCAAAGTAGGGGCTGACCAGTCCTTTGCAGGGCCATAGCTCTGCTCTGAGGAAATCTGCAAGGGAGTGGTGGGACAGTTCAAAGGCTCTGGTGTAGTCTTTTGCTATCTCACTTATGCAAAGAGTCAGCAAACTATGGCCCACAGGAAATTTGCTGCCTGTTCTTGTGTGGTCTGCAAGCTAAGAATGGGTTTTATGGGTTTTAGAGGAAATTCAAGTTCATTGTCCATAATAAAGCTTTATTGCACATGGTTATATCCATTCTTTTATGTAGTAGAAACTTTCTCTCTAGAGTAGCAGCATTGAATAGCTTTGACATGGAACTCAGGGTCCACAAGTCCTTGCATAGTTACTAGTTAGTCCTTCATAGAACATGTTTGCCAGTGCTTAGTCTATATGGGCAATTTTCAAATTTTTGATTTCAGCATAACCTTAAAAATTATTGAGGCTCTCAAAGACGTTTTGTGTTTGTGGGTAATATCTAAAAATATATGCTAAATTTGAAGTTAAAACTAAGGAGTTGTTAAATATTTACCTATTCATTCATTAAAAACAATGAAAATTTATTACATATTGATACAAAAACTTTGTAAGAAAAATAACTATAATTTATGAAATAAAAAAAGGTTGGCATCATTTTATATTTTGAAGGCATTATTAATGTCTCAAAATAAGGTAACTGAATTCTCATATCTGATTCTGTGATCAACCTACAGCAGTCTGTCACATCTGGTAGCCTCTGAAGAACACTACTATGTACTTGTAAGAGAATACAGGTGGAAAATCCAAATAACAGCATTATGAAAATAGCTTTAATATCATGAATCTTGTAAAAAATCCTGGGGAACCCCAGGGTTCCCTAAACACCCTTTTGATCATCACTGCTGTGTGATACTTTGTAACACTGTTTCCTCAAAAGATTAAATCATTCTAATGACTTCAAAGCTCTTGGCTGCCTGAAAGAAGGTAACAGTACTTCCCATTGCCCACAGGCATGCTCCCTGTGATCTCTACCAGAGAGCTCTCCAACTTTGAGCTGACCCTCAGCCCTGATGGCACAAGAGTTGGGAACCACAGGTGTTCCAACCTCCTGGATTACACTGAAGTGAAAACCCACCATGGTTTCTTGACGGATGCTACCAAAAATCCAGAAGTGATTGGAGAGACATTTCCTTACCAGTACAGCTCATCCATCCGAGGCTCCAGTACCCTGCGCTTTTACCGAAACCTAAACCTGGAGGCCTGTTTGTGGGAGTTTGTCAGCTACTACGACATGTCAGAACTCCTCACCGACTGTGGAGGCTCCATTGGAACAGACGGACAGGTACAGGTTTTTCACCTCTGAGCTTTGTTCACCGCATAAACCAATGAGTTTGTTCTGTTACCTAGATTTATATTGAATCCTACTTCCAATTTCAGCAATGTAGGTAACAAAAGGAACCAGATGATTGACATGGATGGGGTGAGAATCCATGCCTATTTCTAGAATATTATCTCAAAATATAAAGATTTTTAAACAGTGGGTAACATTGTCTTTGTATCAAGAGGACTTTATAGGGGCCAGCACTGTGGCATTGTAGGTAAAGCCACCGCCTGCAGGGTCAGCATCCCATATGGATGCCAGTTCAAGTCCTGGCTGCTCCACTTCCAATCCAACTCTCTGCTATGGTCTGGGAAAGCTGTAGAAGATGGCCCCTGCATGGGAGACCTGGAAGAAGCTCCTGGCTCCTGGCTTCAGGTCGGCCCAGCTCCAGCCATTGCAGCCATTTGGGGAGAAACCAGTGGGTGGAAGACTTCTCTCTCTGCCTCTGCTTCTCTGTAACTCTGCCTTTCAAATAAATACATGAATCTTTTTTAAAAAAGAAAAAAGAAGACGTTATATAATTATTGCCTTAAACTCCAAATCTATTGTGATTTAAATGCAAATACTGATTTCTCTTTAAAATATATGCCATTATTTCTTCTACTTGGGCCCAGATGCATGTGATAGTGTGTTATGCACCATAGCAAGTGAGGATTTATGAGACTGAACACCAGTTTAGGTTTTCTGCCTCCATACTTTCACTTTTCCCTACCCTCCTTCTCCCCTTCTACGTACTTGTTTCTCTTTCACAATTTTCTTTTCTAGTTTTCTCCTCTTTTGATCCCTTTGTTTTTTCTCCCTCATCACCATCATTGAAAGTATTTTTGTTAAAAGCTTATATTTTTAAATATAATACATTTTGTGTATACAGACTTTTTATTTTTATTTCTTCACTACAGTTACTAATTCTTATTCATACTACACAGATATTTACATATAAAAGACACACACATACAAAATTGTCCTGCTACTACCATCATCACAAAAAATTGTTGTAATGATAAGAAAGCAAAGTATTCATTTGGGGTTATATTAGAGAATCTAAAATATGTATGCTACAGTATAAAATTATAATAAGCATTTCAACTAAAAAGCAAGTCTTTCTTACCTGGACTAAATAAGGAATTATCTAAGTAGACTCATGCATTAAATCATTGAATGGTATGCAGAAGCATCACATCTTTCGAGATTTTTCCAAGGTGAAGCCAATCTTTTTTTCAGTGCTATATTCCGAATAGTCAAAATATAAAACAATTACAGGAGAAAGGTAGATGATAATCAATTATCAGTTTAACACCACAGCAAAGCTCTGAAACATCAAAAGTTCAGTTGGTGTTGATGTTGAATGAGCAGACACATTTTCTCCAGAAACTATAGGACGCTTGTGTCATGAAGCATTATCTTAACAGCTTCCTCTAAAGACAGCAATATTCAGTAATTTGCACAAATTAGTAAAAATCCCCCAAAAAATGCCAACAAAAAGACAATGTGAAATGGTAGAAAGAACCTGCATACTAGAATCAGGCAAATACAGACCCAAGTTTTGTTGTGATATTTTCTAGCAATGTGTCCTTGACCAACTTGCAAAGCCCTCATGACATTAACTCTTCATGCCCTTCCTCCCCAACCTGTCTCTGCTACATGAAAGAAACCACAGAAGAAGCTGGCACCACAGCCTGCATTGCCAGCACACCTGGTTCTAGTCCCAGTCAGGGTGCTGGATTCTGTCCCGGTTGCCCCTCTTCCAGTCTAGCTCTCTGCTATGGCCCGGGAATGCAGTGGAGGATGGCCCAAGTGCTTGGGCCCTGCACCTGCATGGGAGACCAGGAGGGGCACCTGGCTCCTGGCTTCGGATCAGCGCGGTGCACTGGCTGCAGCGGCCATTGGAGTGTGAACCAACGGTAAAGGAAGACCTTTCTCCCTGTCTCTCTCTCTCACTCTCCACTCTGCCTGTCAAAAAGAAAGAAAGAAAGAAAGAAAGAAAGAAAGAGAGAGAGAGAGAGAGAGAGAGAGAGGGAGGGAGGGAGGGAGGGAGGGAGGGAGGGAGGAAGGAAGGAAGGAAGGAAGGAAGGAAGGAAGGAAGAGAGAGAGAGAAGAATAAGCATCTTATCCCCAGAATTAAAATAAAGACTTTATGAAAAATCATCCTCAGCCTTTTCCTTTATGGACCAAATGTCACTCATTTTTTAGTGCTCCCTCACAGAGCCTATTTTCAATCCATTGTTAAATCATATGTATTTTCTTTCTGCTTGCTCTTCTCTCAGGGACTTTCCCAAGTCTCACAATCTGTTTGTCATAAACTACATTGGATATATAAATAGGATCACATTATAGTTCAATTCTCCTTTAATGGAATCATATCATACAGGGGAGCTCTTCTGTGGGTCTGTGTAGTTTATGGCCCATTGTTATTATAAAGAACATTTCTGAGGGCAAGCAGCTAGCCTAGCTGCAAAGATGCTGCTTGGGATGCCCACATCTCAAATTGGAGTAGCTGGGTATGCGTTCTGACTCCCCTCCTGATTCTAGTCTCCTCCTAATGTGTATCCTGGGAGGCAGCAGTAATGGCTCCAGTACTCAAGTCCATGCCATGCATGTGAGAGACTCAGACTGAGTTCCATCCTACTGGCCTCATCCTGGCCTAGTCCCAGCTGTTGTGAGAATCTGGGCAGTAAACTGACAATAAAAGATTTCTCTCTCATTCTCTTGCTCCCTCTCTTTCTCCCTCTCAGCTTTATCCTATTATACCTATCCACCTTTCCAGTGTGTTAAGCTCATTTTGCATGCAAAGCTTGCTCTTTAAAGTGTTAACTCCTCAGACTAAATGTGAATATAAGATGTTCAGCAAAACTGACCATATGTTGCTGCACCCTTTTATTTTAGAGGACTATTAAATTACTTCAGTTCAGTAATTTTTGTTCTTCCCATGACCTCTGCTAGCAGGGATGTCATTGCTTGGCTACTGTAGCTGAGCTGCCAACAATTCTGCTCCATGAGGTAAAAACTGGCAACTGCAGATTTCAGTTAAATCTCATTGCCCAAAGGCCTTATGTTACATGACACTAAATTAAGAGAGAGTATTAAGAATAATCTAATTCTTTAGTAGTTTGTATTACCTTCTTAAGTAGATGGCCAGTTAGCCTGTTTTTGATCTAGTGCTTGTTTGCCTTGACATCCACAATGAACACGAGCATGATGTTGTCTTCTGTCTTCTTCATAGCGGACTATGTGGTTAGGGGAAACTTGATGATGGTGTAGTAGTCAAGCTTATTTCTCCTGGGGAAGCTCTTCTGAGGATATTTGGGGTTGCCACCAGACGCATAGTATCTTGGGCTGCTGAAATGTGGGTGACATGTGGATCTTCTGTTTTGTATGGTTGTAAACACCTTTTAGCACTGCCTTCTTGACTTTCAAAGCCTTTGCTTTGACTTTGGCTTTGGGAGGGAGCAGGAGTGTCCTTCGCCTTTCTTGCCATCTTGGTAAACAGCAATGGCTAACTCATTCCATGAGTTTCTTTTAAAATAATTTTTCTCCTTTTGCATTCTTGAAAATTAGTTGAATAGCATAATCATGATAACCAATAGCACAAAGGTAACAAAATTCACAGTTGTTGAGATTTCCAGATCTTGTTATAAATGTTAAAGCCCTCAGTATAATCTAAATATACTACAAGCTAATGAAACATACTGCTTATTCTCTTGGAGTGAAACTTAAGCTAGGGAAATGTCCATCCCATTTTCTCCTATGAGCTTCCTGTAGCTTAAACATTGATTCTCCCCATGGCTGTTGATGCTCTCCTACAAGAATGCTACCCAACCTTAGTAGTGAAAATATGTGTCAGATGGCATCCATATCCACTGTTGGTGAAGCAGTGAAGACTCAAATCCCAACAGCAGGAGTCTATAGCTTCATCTAGGTACAGCAGTTCAGTTTTGTTTAAATATTTGTGTATCTATTTGAAAGGCAGGATTACAGAAAGAGGGACAGAAACATCTTCCATCCTCTGGTTCACTCCCTAAATGGCTAGGAGCTCCAAAGCTAGGAGCCAGGAACTCCATCTGGCTCTCCCACACAGGTGCAGGTGTCATAGCACTTGGGACATCTTCTGTTGCTTTCTCAGGTGCATTAGCAGGGAGATGGAATCAAAGTGGAGCAGCCAGAACTCAAATCAGTGCCCATATTGGGATGTCAGCATTTCAGGTGGTAGCTTAACCCATGGCACCCCAGCAGATCAGTTTTAAAGGTATGTATGTGTGTGTGTGTCATGAGATGGCAACTGAAGAAAAGCAAACCAAATGCTTGGTAAATAGATTCAACTTTAGAATTTTGTGAGAGTCTTACAAACATTCACAATTATGCATTTAAATTAGAAAATGGGAAAAATACAGATGAACCTTCATCATGGGCTATCTGTGCTTCAGAGCAGCTTCGTGATTTCATTGACCACTCCAGGCTACTGCACCTGCAGAAGCTGCTGTCGGCCCCAGCCTGAAGATTTCTGCAATTCCACAGAGCCCTGTCCAACCACCTAGAAGATTTTGTGCCTCCACTAATCAGTTCCTAGACTTGGCATGTAATCCCTGTGCAAACAAATTTTATTAGCTGCTAATTGCTTCTGCCAGGAACAACATGATGGAGACTGATGTTTTTCTCTATGTGTTCTTTGTAGCTCCACACAATATTGCCAGGTTGTTGCCAGTGTGTGTGTGTGTGTGTGTGTGTGAATGCAGATGTTTCTGACACCCTGAAAGAGTTATGTCTTCCCCAGTCTCTCAGATTATTTAACATGTAAGAAAGAACTCTCAGTTTTCTCTCAGCCTCTCCTTCTCTCTCTCTCTGTAACTCTACCTCTCAAATAAATAAATAAATAAAAGAACTCTCAGAGGAAAGAATCACCTGAACAATCCAGGAGTCTATTACCAGCAATGAAGTTTGATAAGGTTTTATACAGTTTGACCAGT